GCATCTCGAGTAAAAAACTAGATGTCTGTCTGTTGTGATTGCAGCTTTTCGACGTCGAACCGGCCTTGTGTTCATAGACGAGCATTTTTTCTGCACGGAAGTGGGTGCGTAACTTTGCTGCTACCAGATAGTGGTCCGAGTTGGTGTTGGGTCTTCTGAACGTATGTAGGTCAAGAATATTGGATACTTGTCTTCTGCCTACCACATGAATGTTTTGGTTGTAAGTTTTTAATCTGGAAATAGCCAAATAGTTGTATAAATTCTCGTGTGCTAGAAACTAGTACTACATACAACAAGAATTTGGGCACCAGCGATGTCGATTAGCCTTAACCTATTTGGGTATGTTTCGTCGTAGAGGCGAAATTTTCCCAAAGTTTTGCTGAATATACCTTTTTTAGCGCACTCTGGCGTTAAAGTCACCGATTGTGGATTGTGGCGAGACGTACATCCACCGGTGTGAATGACAATACTCGACAACGGAGCTTCTCCCCCACCACGTGTCTGGCACCGTACACGCAATTCTTGGACGGTATTGCTAAATTTCTCATTGAAGCTAGTTTCTACTTGGCGGGTTACAACCCCGGTGTATAGCCTCGCTAGAAAGGTAGGTTAAAATTTTGTACAAATTTATATAGTGAGCCACTTACTTCAAAATCGACGCTGTACCTCTGGTGAACAGACGCTACAATTACAGTACAGAGAGAATCCTCAAGCCAAATAAGTCAGAGTGGCGCCATTGAAGTTTCCTCTTTTTAGTCCTGACCTAAAACTGCACACCCAGAAGCTTGATTTTAGCCCTTATAATATTATTCGCTATATTCGCTACATGATAATAATGACCGTTAAGCGACAAGTACTTTGAGAATTCTTTACAGGCAATAAAATCAACTCAATTTTATAAAGAATTAGAGAAAGTTGAGTGTATTTCATTGTTGGGTATATACTGGGGTATATAAAAATCAGCATAGTCCAAACCTCGTGGTCCTTCCCTCAGCCAAAATTTATAATCCCCACTGTGCTATTTTTCCATACAGAACTGTACACAAAGCAAAGATTCAAACACAAATCTACAAGTATTTTTATTTAAATGCTTGAACTTCAGGAAAGTGTACAAGTTTGCCTTGTTCTTTCCACTATTCTTAGTCTTCATACAAAAATCATTTCTTCTTCTTTATTATTTATGTTTTTTTTTTTTTTCAAACAAGACACCCAACTGGCTTGGCTACGTCTGAGTTAAGGTTTTATTCTTCTCTGGTTCATTAGCATGACGATTGTTTGCCCGATTGTTGCTCATCAATAAACAAATATTCGTTTCTTAAAATAATTATAGAATTTAATAGTTTGATATTCCAAAGGCAAGTGTAACCAGTTAAGCTACCAGACCTAGAGAGGTTGAGAATTTTATTTATTTATTTTTATATTTATTTGTTTTATGCCTGTGCTTTTCGGTTTTTAAAACCAATAATAATATTATTTTGGGTTTTTGTAATTTGATCATTTTCGAATCTTTAAATTCTATCACCTAATGATCCGAAATGGTGTTCTTATGTAGATTATATTTTACTTAATTTACTGCCGGAAATTCCAAAAGTGTTTTATTTTTTATTAATTTCTTCTGCCGACTGCTTAGAAGAGTTTGTTTGAGCTCTTGTCGCGTACTGGCCGCAACAAAAACTTCTTTTATGTGTGTCTGTTAATTTCCTTTGTTTTGCCTAAGCTTTCTTTCACTCCAAGCGTTGGCAGTGATATCTGTCGGCAAATAGTTGCATTATTTGAAGCCATGGATTGATGGCACGGTTGCATTCGGTGTGTGCCTACCCAGTGGTATAAGTCTCCAAGAGGAGGTGTTCCCCAAAACGGTTCCTCCACTAACAAATATTAGGGCAACGGTATGCTTTGCGCGGGAATTCCGTAAAAAGGGGTGTCGCCTTTTTCTTTACTGCAGCGAGGGGAAAAGTTATCCCAGTGTACTTGGTGTGCCATGGTGGCGTGCGCTATACAACCCGGTCCCTTTGGGTAATGGGGGCGGCGCCAAATGATTGGGCACCAATACACACTCGCAGGAGAATTTTGAAGGCCGACGCGTAGCTTGCGGCCTGGCTCGTAAGTGCGTGCCGGATCAGATTCTTGCAATCTACAGAAGAGTGCGAACTTCTTTTTACGCAGGCGTGCGATTTACAAAAAAAAAGAAAAAAAAACAAACAAAAAATTTGTGATATTTTTTTTTTATAAATATAATAGCGTTTTGCCAGGCGAGGCAAGTGGTAGTGTAAGGGCAGTTGAAGCCTTGTAAAAAGTAGTGAAAGTTTTAAGCCAGTCGGGGCTTGTTTAAGGGCAGACGAAGCCCAGTGCAAAATAGGTTTTCTTTTATATTCCAGTGGCGGAACCAGAGTTTGGCGTCGACATCATCCGGAGGAGCACCGAAGTTGGGTACCCACACCCGACCGAGAAACTGATAAGTATCATTTCGTGTATTTATTGTTTGCGTACGTTTTGTCGTGCCGACAGTGTCACCACCCTCGTTACGTCCTTACCCATCCTTCTAGCATCCCGCACCCGGAGCCCAGTCATACAGGCGGGTTAAAGTTACCCCCGGCAGCACGGGAGTAGTGCGAGTGGGTTCGTAACCAGTTCGGTTGGACCACACCTCGGGTGCACCCCAAAAACATATTTTGTTTTATTGTTTTGAGTAGTTCGAATTTGCTGTTAAATTGTTGTCCCGCAATTTTTGTTTATCGCGTTAGGAAGTTTCGCTTGGTTTTGTTTTCTTTGCACGTAGTTTGTTGTTGTGCGTAGCTAGCGACCCACGCCGTCTTCACTAAGCTGGCCGGTCGCTTTGTTAGTTTTTGTCATCTCCTTTTTGTGCGGTAGTTTGTTTTGACGTGTGTGGTTGTTGGTAGGCGTTTGACCAACAGCCACTGTAGGTATACATATGTATGTACGTATGTACACACGCACATACATATTGTAATTACAAAAAGTGGAGGTGACACTCTGATAAAGCTTTCGGTACAGCTTGAGCTTGTATGTTGTTTTTCTAGAAGAACTACAGTGAGGTGTTTTTAAACAAATTAATATGTAATCATTTGGTTGATGAATGTGTTCTGGTATTTTTTTTTTATTTTTAACCAAATAAATATGATTTCAATAAATTAATTTACTTGTAGTCTTTTGATTTTGTATTTAAACTCGATATTGTACGAAGCTTCGGCGGAAACCAGGTTCCATTGTTGCTTTGCTGTACAAACAAGAAACCAAATCAAATTCATTTACAGGGATTTTTCCATGTATTTTCTTCTTTATTTTAAAGTTTCAACTCAGGCATTGTATATGTGAAACATCATTCAAACAGCCGCCTGGGAGATTTTTAAAAACTTCTATCAGTTTGAGGCACTATTGTGCACATATCGGCGATATCTCACTTATAACTTGACGCATGTTGGGTTTTCAAGTGCCCGAGAGTTAAAATTTTATCCGCAAGTCTTTCGAGTAGCCACTCAAAGAAATCCCACGGTTCCAAATCTCACGATCTCGGAGGCCGATTGACATCACCAAGACAAGAAATTACACAGCCGGGGGTCTCGCAATAAATACAAATTTGCTCGTGTTGTATGACACCCGACACCATCTTGCTGAAACCACATATGGTCCAAGAGAAAAACATAAAGCGTGTCATTCGCCAGTTACGAGTCGAAATTCTCGAACTAGTCATCGAAAATTGGACTCAACGAATCTGAGACGTAACCGCGGTCAACATTGGAAACAATAATCTACCAAAACTAAATGCCAAAGAATGTCCTTTGAATTTTCTGTGTTTTTTCCTTTTGAAAAGAAAAAGAGAACTTCGAAATGCATCACCTTTTATAAATACTAAGCGTGTTTGTTTAGACATGTGGTTTTCAAGTAGAAATGAAACGCATATAATTGAATATTATGACTAAGAATTTAGCTTTGGTATAAAGATAGGGGTTGCTAGCCGCCTTGGCTAGCCCCGAGGCCTCATTTTCGACCACTGCTTAGTAAACAAGTATTTTTCGGAACCAAATATCGTCCACATCAACATCTGCCAATTCATGCACGCAAAAGTCAGTCCCTGTCACATTTTTTCATTTTTTGAAAAAATATGGGCCGATGATTTCCTCTGCCAACAGAGCTTGTGGATATCCAAATTTTTTATTAACGTTCCCTATGAAGCAAAAGTGAGGTGCAGCGCTTGAAAAAATTTTATTTCTGAACGTGCGACACGTTTGAAATCTTGCATAAGTTGAATTTTATAAGCCCGCAAACCATGATCTTACCGCAAAACATTACATAAAGTGGATGGCTACAGCTCCAGATGTAGCGCGTGATAAAAGATAGACTTAATCGGGTCCCCTCCGATACTTTGCTCCACCGCAGCAAAAGCGTCTTCGCCCTTTATCCACTAGAATAAACGTGGTGCGAAGCCGATCTTTGGTAACTCGTGTTAATTAGCAAATGTTTGTTTGCTTTGCATCTGCCTTATATATAAGAAAATGAAGTAAATGAGCTTGCGGGATAAGTCTATTCACCATGAAATGGCAAGCCAAACTGAGTATAAATCAATCAAAATCTGTTAAAAAGACCAACTCCGAAAAAAGGAATTAACACGTTGAAAACGACAGGTCTAAAAAAAAATTGTTAATAAAGACTTCGACATGACCAAAGACAACTCTTCTTCCTTATTTGTGGTAAATTTCACTCATTTTCGAATCGAAATTTATTTTCACACGAATAACGATTTACAGAAAAGCCTTCAGGAAAAACACTGCTTGAAGTGTCAGCTTTCAAGCAGGTGTTAGCTTGACACAAACGGATTAATGTTGTTCGAAATGAGAGTGTGAACATCAACTAGTGACATAAATCCCGAAGATTTAGTATATATATATATTAAATATATTTTTTTAAATAAAAATATATGAAACTGCATATATTTACCCTTCAATGCTTGTTTTATAATAAACTCTCCAATTTCTTTCCAGCTGCGAAACCCTCAAAACTCCCGAAATCAACGAAAATACATTTTTCACACACATACAGTGAAAACTTCGTATATGTAAGTGAAAAGTATTGAAGTTAAGAATTTAAATAAAACTTAAATAAAACTTAAAGCCAATTTACTGAAAAAATAAATTGCAATTTAATACAAACAACCAAGTAAAGGGCGCACTTGCAGCGAATCCATAGCAAAAATAAAAATAAAAAACAGAACCAAAAAAAAATAAATAAATAAATAAGAAAACAACAACAATGTTTACAACAAAAGAAATGTATAAATTCATCAAATAAGGAAGTGCATAAAAGAAAAGTGTAAATGCTGACAAGTAGCTGGGGACTACACATACATGCATACATACATACATACATATGTACAAACTACCAAATGCATGCAATGAAAATATCTAACAACGGTTAGGGAATCGCAACGATTATATTACACACCGCAAGCTGCATAACTGCAAATCGAGTTGCAGTCAGATCAAAACCGAGACGAGCCGTTTAATAAGAAGCTGTAGAAGAAGCAGAAGGAAACATATACAAAAGCCATACAACGAGAAAAAAAAAGAAGAAAAGACAAAAAACAAAAAAACAGAAGAAGTCTTGCACATTCAAGCCAAGGCAAGAAAATTAGAAGAAGCAAAATAAGTGAAAAACAAAATAAAGAAATAGCGCGAAAAAATAGAGCAAAGGCGGAAAAGTAAATACGCTGAGGTGCATAGAGACGGCAGAGGGTGGACAGTAGGTGTTTGTAGCACAGTGTCATATACATGCATACATACATATGTTTGTATGTATATGAGTATTTGGAGAAGCTTGAGAAAAAAAAAAACTGGCGGAAAAGTCGAGCGCAAAAGAAGACAACATAGAAACTTTATACAAATGAAATGAAAGAGTTGAACGAGTGAAGTGAGCAAGCAAGCAATTTAAAGTAACTACTTTTCGTATATACATACATACATATATTCCTCTACCACTTAGAAGTCTTCTTCTTCAACAGTACGAACGGCGCATTAAAGAGCAACACAAGCGATAAAACAAAAACAAAATATATAAACATAATGGCAACGAAAACTGTTATAAACACGAATACACCAACTAAAATAACAACAATGCGTGGCATCTCCATTTTAATTGACCAAGATCAAGTAGCGCCAGCAGCCGTAACAATAACAACAACAACAACAGCAACCACGACTACGACGACGACGACGACGACAAGGCAACAACCACTCATTGTCACATGTCAACAAGACATGTTGCGTCCTACAACAACAAACACAACAACACCGCATAGAAACACCGACTCGGCCAAGATCACCATTTATCAAAATACAACAACAACAAAAACACAAATGGCACCAACACCATCAACGGCCATAACTAGAACGGTGTTGACCAAATTGCAGCCACAGCCGAGTAAATTGATGGCGACCACAACAACAACACATATTGGTATTAACGGTATAAATAATAGTGATAATTACACACATAATAATAGCCACAAACATAATGATATTGTTGCCGCCGCTGCCGCTGCCGCTGCCGCTGCTGATGGCATTGGTGATGATGATGTTTTGTCAGCCGCTGCCGCCGCCACTAATGGTAATAATGAACCAACACACGATGAACGCCGTTCATCCATACGCATTAGCAGTGGTGAATATGAAAGTGAGCAACAACAAAAAAACACTAGTTACGCTACAATTAAACAGAAAATAACAACATCCACTGCAGTGCCCACATTGCCGCATTTGCTTTTGAAAGTGGTGAACGATGGTGAAAGAAGTGGAAAAGTCAATAATGGCGAGCAGACGACAACAGCAACAGCAACAGCGGCTGTCGTGGTCAACGAAGTAACAAATGTGAGTGGAAATGAAGTGGCTGGAAATCTAAGTCTGCTTGTTGGTGGAAAATTGCGCGCAGTTACAGGTGGTGGTCAAAGCGAAAAGCAGAGCAATGCAACGACAAGCAAAGCTTCGCCAACAACTACAAAGTTGTCGGCTGTTAATGATGAGACACAAACGAAGCGCGGCTTGATGATCATACAGTGCAATGGCAATGTGGATCATCATCATCATCATCGCAGTGTTGATAATGATCGCGCCGATCATGCTGTTCATAGCGACGATATACAACAAGACAAACGCGAACATTTTGAACAAGTTAGTTCACTTGTTGCGTCTAATTCATATCAAAAGCAGCAGCAGCAGCAGCACGATGACGACGACGACGACGAAAGTTGTGTGACTAGTGCTATTGGAAATGGTCAAAACGCGTTTGAACATTATATTTGTACGAATGCGCCGCCAAGCAGCGGTGTTAGGCAAAACGAACACGAACGTCTTGAAGCTGCTTCTGCTGCTGCTGCTGCGGCTGTTGCTGGTGGTGGTGGTGGTGTCTGCACTGCAGATGTCCAAGAGCATCTGGAAAGTAAAGACGTGAACAACGCGAATTCGAATGCGATCGCCGCGTATAGCAGCAGTCTACTAACGGCAACGGTAACGAAAGCAATAGATTGTGCAAGTGCACTGACCGCAACAGGCGCAAGCGTATTGAAAACCAACGCGCAACAGTTAGTAACGGAAAAACGTGAAAATATACCAATAGCGAATGCGAAAGAACCAAAATTGCATGTCTTGAAAATCCAAATCAAACCGAGTGAAGTGGCTGAAAGCAATGAGAAGCAAGTAACAGTGGTAACCCTTAATGAGTCAAAAGTGCAGGAAAACCAACAACAACAAGAGATACAGAGTGAACAAGCTAAAGCGACAAATACAAATTGTTTAAGCCAAAAAATTCCCGTGCTGAGCGCTAAAACAACAAATATTAAAACGCCAACAATTGAACAGAAAATCGTGCGCGTACAACAAACAACGGGTGAAAGTGCGAACGAACTACATTCGAGCGCAGCAATAAACAACAACAACAATAACGTGTACATAAACAAGCAGGCAAGCGAAGAAAACGTACAGAAAATGGTGCAAAAGCCTGTAGCAATGTCATTTACGGCCACGCCGCCAACGGCTGGCACTGCATTGTCGTCCACAATTCTCAACACGGGCGCGGCGGTAACCGTATCGTCGTCATCACCAACAGCATCGGTCGCCACAAACTTGAATGTCAGCAGCGCCAATGGTAATGGCAACGCAGCATTAAACGGTATTAATGCCACTAATAACGGTAACGGTCACGCGAACAATGCGATTGCAACGAGCAACACCAGCGTCACCGAGCTGAATGTCACACATCCTTCGTATCTGTACTATGTCATGTCTAGCGGTCAATTCTCGCCTTGTGACACACTGGATAGCGGTACTGGTAGTGATTTAGAGAGCAATGGCAATATCACACCAGGCGCACCTACAACCACACAGAACAAGCTGCAGTCGACACTGGAAAAACTCAATGCGGCTGCTGATGCACAAACTAATGCCACCTCGGCCACGTCCAAATTGGAAATGCATGTGAAGGCCACAAAGATACGTTTGAATGGCAGCACAAAGAAATCTGGGTTGGACTTAACCAACGGCAATACGAAGTCGTCCTCACACACAAATGGCGATCATGCTCGTGCGGGTAGTTTTACCGATAGCGAGGAGAGCGAGTCCTCCTCGCTGAGTTGTGACTCGCTGCATTCCACCGAGTTCATACGCCAAACGTCGGTTTCGCCTACATCAGCACACAAGGGCGCAACGTGTGCCAAAATGTTGGGTTCTTTTCTGCCCGACTCTTTGTTGCGTGACATACGCGATCGTAAATTTCCAACAAATGATTTTGAATCGAAATATGGTGATGCGCGTAGCGCTGGTAGCGCTGATGGCGGCAGTGATGCTGATGGCGAAGCGGATGCACCTTTCACAGGTCCGCTAACGGCTGATATGGCCAACGAACCGAATTATATTAATATTGAACATACGAAATTCTTAAAGGAACGCAATGGCAATAATATTATTACCGTTAGTAATAGTCACATCAATAAACGCGCTTCGTTGCCAAACAAAACGTTTGTTTTGAACGCGGATAACGGTACGTTCGTTGATACGAAAATGAATTCGATGCCACGTAAATATGAAGCAGATAAATATTATAATTTTCATGTGCGCGAACATGAGAATTTCCGCAGTTTCGATTTGGGTTGTGGCGGTGCGGGCGGTGCAGCCAGTCTTGGCGGTTTGGGAGTTGGCGATCTGGAAAGTCTCTCCGAATACGAAACAAAGAGTTTGCACGACGACGCCTTCGCAGGCTATAAGGATATACGTTGCGGTTCGGCCACTTCGACTATACGCTCGTCGAAGGGCACCGTGCGCGGAGTCAAGAATCGTGTGCGCAATGGAATAGCCACGTTCTTGCAGCTGCAGCACCCAAATGTGAAGGTAAGTGGAAAATAAGTTATAGGAAGTATGAATATAAATAAATAATCTACAATCTAAAGCAAAAACAAAGAAATGGCAATTGAAAAATATCAAAATATAAAGTAAATATTATATAATTAAAAAAAATATTAAAGTAAATAATTAATTAAAATAAAGTGATATAGAATGAAACAAAATAAAATAGAATGTAATGCATTAAATACAGTAAAAAAATAGTATATTAATATAATAAATGAAATAAAATAATAAAAAAAGAAAAATAATAATAAAAAAAGAAAAAAAAATAATATCAAAAGAAACTAAAAGTAATATTAAAAATAAAATACGATACAATAAATTCAAAATGAAAGACGAAGCAATATAAAAGTATAAAACAATAAAACAAATTTAAAAATATAAATTAAGTTTTCATGAGTGAATATAAAAAACTGAAATTAAAAAAAATTAAATAACCTAAAATTAAATTTAAACAAGTAAAAATAAATAAATTAAAATGAAATTTAATTTAATTAAGCTATATTGATTTAGATAAAGTGAACTAAACTAAGTTAAATAAAATAAAATTAATTAAGATTAACATACAACACAAAAAACAAAAAGAAGAATTTAAAAAAAATTCAAAAATTAATGGAGAAATAAAAAAAATTCAAAATGAAATAAAATAAAGTAATGTAAAATAAAATGAAAAAACTGCATTAATAAATAAATAAAACTTATTAATAATAAATATAATTTAATAATTAAATATACTTTAATAATTAAATTTAATTTAATCATAAAATTATATTAAATCTAGTTAATGAATTAAAAATTATAATAAAACTAATTAAACTTAAATAAATTAATAAATAAAACATAGTTAATTTAATTCCAATTACACAGTTTTAATTGTAATAAGATAAAATAAAATATTAAATCAAATATTATATTATTTATTAAAACTAACATAGAGTAAAGTAAAATTTAACTATTTAAATAAAAAAAATAAAGATGAATCAAATTGAAAAATATAAAATTAATTAAAATAAAGCAGAATGAAGTAAAATAAAATACTATAAAAATTTAAATCAAACAAAATAAAATAAGTTAAAAGGAAATAAAAGAAAATGAAGTAATAAAATATGAAATTAAGAAGAAATAAAAATTTATTAATTAAATTTAATTATTTTTTTTAGTTCAGAATTATAAAAAAATCATAATTACTTTTCTTATATGTGGATATTTAAATAAAGTAAAAATAAAATAAAATTAAAAAAAATGAATAAATGAAATTGGAATAAAATTTAATAACATTTTAAAATACATCAATTAAATTAAATTAACTTATAATGCATTCTAAATTGTAAAATAATTGTAATTTTTTTTAAGCAAAAAATTAAATAAATTAAAATTAAACAGAACTACACATAAAAAGTTCAAATAAATAAAGAAAAAACACATTAAAATAAAACTATAATTAAACTACATATTATATAATACAATAAAAAGTAAAGTTAAAAAAACAACTAAAAGTAATTTAAATTCTAAAAACTATAATTAAACTAAATATTGGATAATACAATAAAAAGTAAAGCTAAAGAAAACAACTTAAAGTAATTTAAATTAAATGAAGAGAAAATTCTATATAAACAAGTTCGCTTTATTATTTTATATAATTTCTTCTATAGTTTTTTTGCAGTGATTTTGACCTAAATTTTCCCTAATATTTTTAGTCCTCTAGTAAATTAACATATTTTTTTTTACTTCAAGCAAAATTATATAATTTTCTTATCTGCTTTAAAGCATCAACGGCCTTTGATTAATTCTCTCAACGTGTATTCCGCAAATATTCCGAATTCTCACACACATACATACATATGTTCATATTTTAGGCAAAATGTCAAAATTATTTATCTAATTTTAGCATCTGTCATTCTTCATTCACCATACATAATTTCTCACGTACTCAACTTACAATTGTAAACAAGTAACCATAATAGCAAAAAAGAAATATTAGTTAAAATAATGTCACAACTGAATTGAAACGTAACACATACGTGTATGTATTCATACATACGAACAATAGCAACAGTTCGGAGAGTTAACAGCTGACTGTTAAAAATAGGAATGAAAAAGTGTTAAATGAAACTGCCTTCAAAGCAAAGAATCGACAACCTTGTGGCAAAATAATGCAAACAAACAATTGTTTCAAATTTATGTACATAAATTTGTGATCTTATTTGAGTTATTGTCACTGCATTGTTTGTTGGTACTTTGTTTGTGTTTTCAAATGAAAAAAAAAAATGTGGAGCAGATCAACGGAAGTGATAGGCGTAAAAATTTAACGCTCATATTTGAAAGAAAAATAAATGTGGTAGGTGCAGAAATATGCATAAATGTGGCTAATAACTGTTGAAATGTTTGAAAAAAAAATGAAATTTACAATTTTAAAGTTAAGTTAGTAGCCGAGTGGTTAGCATTGCGTACTGCCATTCGGAAGGCTCGGGCTTCAACCTCCCTGCATTTTGTTATTTGAAAAAAACTCTCTGTTCTGACAGCGCAGTTTTTAGATGAGAGAACAAAAAGAAGCCGATTGTGACTAAAACTAGTAAGGTGAAAGCTTAACCCTCCGTCCGACACCACACTTTATATACTTTCGTCCGACACCTGGTGACTGGCCAGATATTTATATAGGTTTATATGAGAAAAAGTACTATATGGAGAGGTGTCGGACCGAAGGTGCATTTTTTAAAATCCTTTTTTCGTCCTTATTTAAAAGGACAGGTATATGTTTTTATTGCATAGATCGATAGCCAATAAAATTTTAAGAGGGTACCTAGGAGCACAATTCGCTATCTAAATTTTAAGTATATTAAATTTATCTCCAAAAACGAAAAAGGTCTGGCCCGACCCTGGTGTCGGACGGATGGTTAAGAGGTTCAAAACCGTAATATGTGGATTTTCAAAACGGCAACCGCTGAGGTATGAAACTGTGCGCTGACTTTTTGAGTTAGAATTTTATTTTTATGCAAATGTGGTTTCTTTTCGAAAGATAATCATCAACTGTAGCCGATATTTTGAGTTGGATTCACTTAGGCCTTACTAAGACCCTTGACGATCAGGTTGGGTTATCCATTTTGATTCTGTAATGAACCTTATTACTTCCAAGACTTTGACGTTAGCTATTTTCGATAGACCATCCAACAGTATGGTCCCGAAATTCCGAAACCCAGCCCTGTTCAAAGCAGGAAAGTCACATAAGCGGTGGGTGATCGTATCCTCTTCTTCATCATCCTTGCAGCTTCTACAGTATCTTTTGTAGGGTGCCCCTAGTCTTTCCGCGTGTGGTCCTATCAGACAGTGGTCTGTCGGAACTGCTATTACTTTGGACATGTCATCTCTTCACTCCTGCCTGGATTTGCTGTAGGTTGTAATGTCATTATGCCTTGTTTCGGTAAGTAGATATGTAAGTTCCTCAGAATCAATTTTCAAGTCAAAGTCATATCAATGCTTTCTTTATCAAGTCGAGTCTGTTTGGTCGTACCTTCCCTAGCAAATTTAATCGCATTACAGTTTTCTTGGAATCGAGTAAAAAATGTTTGTTGTAGTACGTTCCTGACCAGAAGTACGCCACTGACGTACTTATCCAATTGAACTCAGTTACAGTTAGTGTAATACTACTGCCAGTTAATCTAAATCCGCTAAAGGTGAATTCAGCTAAGGTTGCTGTATAGCCAGGAAAATGTGAATGAAAACCAACTGAAATACTTTTCGAATTAAACATCGAAATCTGCTAAGTTCGGCTTAAAAAGCGAAGAAAGAGCATACTTGTTAGGGGAATTTTGACTTCACCACTCAACTATAAGTAAGTTATAATAACTGTATTTTTCTAATATGAATTTTAATATATTTTTCTATATAAATTTACCTTTATTTTCTAAATTTGTTTCATTGCCTAGAAACTAATCCTTCTCATATATGCCATTGCTTTTCCCAATTTCAAAACATTTTTCATATTCATTAGCTCGACTATATTTCAATTACTTTAGAGACTCATGTTGAATCTCTGAAAACGACTCAAAACGGTCTTCCCGAAGCGGTGCTTTGAGCTTGTGGAACAGCCAGTAGCCACAGGGACTTAGATCAGGCGAATATGGTGATTGTGAAACAATATGAGCAGCGGCTACTCTCTATGAAATTTTTTCTACACCACCTCTATACTGCTCATTCTGATGCAAATTGCTTGCAATGATAGCAAAAAAAAATTGGCTAAAAAGCTTTGGAATCACAAAAAATAAACAAAAAATGCTCCGCGTAAATATTTGAAGCCCACAAGCAACACGTGTAAATATGTACTTATGAAAAATATATGTATATGTCTAAGAGCCACAAATATTTGCCATATATACCGCAAAATGCCAGCTGGTATGCAAATTCATAAAGCAAAAAAAAAAAAACAAAGTGAAAAAAATTTACATAAAAATTAAAGCACAGACTTTGTTGGTTACATTGTTGCACGATAACGAGGACAACACACCTCTTTGACGAATCAGTCAACAGCTTAGACAGCGTGTCATTAAACCCACGCATACACACACTTGTCGATATGCATGTATTTATGTATGTCTTATACATGGTTAAGTGGGATTTTTGCATGTGATTTCCAACGTTTTTTTTTTTTGATTTTTTTATATTTTTTATTTTTTTTTTCATTTTTTTGTGTGCTCACCTAAATTATTTTGATACTCAAAAAGAGGAGGCTGTGTGTTGTGTATGCAATAATTGTTGCTGCTGTTGTACACAAGCACACACCTATATTTATACATGCATATTTGCTCATCACAAGAGTTTCCCAGCTGAGCAGCAACAGCCGCAGCTAGTTATTGTTGCCCGCTCATGCTTTGTTGACAACTTGACGTGCCTGCCAGTACGTCAGTTAAGTGTGTTTGCATGTACACCTATGTGTGTGTGTGTGTTGTTATTGTGCTTGGCTACAATGCAAAAGCGCAACAGCCCACACT